TACGGCACTCAGACGGCACACGTCATCTTACCTAGCTGCTTACATTTATAGTGACTCTTATAAATAGTCGCTATTCCTCCTCCTCGACCCGACGTCCGCGGGGAGTTAAAATAGCAGCAATCATCGGGTAAAAGTTCTGTGAAAGCACTGGACTCACCAACAGTCTCAGTCACACAGAGAAAATCCAATCCTCGGGAAGTCAGGAAATCCTTCAGGATAAACGTTTTGTTCGCTAGCGATCTAGCATTTACCAGCCCAATCCTGGCAGGAGTTCGCGGGTCCACGGTGTTAGCTGTGGACACAGATTTACTAACTTTTCATGAATGAGACCCACTATGTTTAAATTGAGCACAGGCTCACCCACTTGATAAAATAAAAATAAAAACAAAAAAGTAATAATCTGAAGGATTCTCATCAATATATTTCATCCAAATTATTTTTTTTTAAGTGTGTAAGGTAGATTTTCTTAATTTTCTTTATGATGTATCTTCATAGTGCAATAAGGAAACAAAGGGCAGGACACTGCTCAATAATAAAATGTTTTGTACAGATATTTATTTATGTATTGTCCTATGATGGCCCCTCACATCAAAAGCCAACAAGAATAGATTATCCATATTAGATGGAATAAATTAATGAACTTACTGATTTCCTGACGTTTCCATGTCCATGTAAAGACAGTTACTGCAATGATGCTGACACTGACAGTCGCAGGAGAAGATCTTGACAGGAACATAATATAATCATAACATATAATCTGATAAGATAGACACAAAATGCAGGACCACTTATATATATCCAGTGTAACCTTTATTTTGCCAGGAAGACCCCATCGAGATACAAGATCTCTTCTTCCAGGGAGTCCTGGTCAAGATGGCGGCATAATCAGCACAGTTAAAAAAAAGACCATTCAAATTATCCCCTTTTTAAAAGAAGGGAATAAAAAGAAATGAAGAAGTGACTCACTGATTATTACATCTCCATATATATGCACCAAAGACAGCCCCAGAAAAATAAAAAGAGCCAACAATGACACAAGAAGAAAATCTCTACAGGTCTACAAATCATCTGAAACAATCAAACACAAAACAGAAATACATTTATAGCCAAATCTGAAGCAGAACACTTGTAATTTTAAGCACTAAATAACCTGTAATCTCTCACTGGTTTACCTTAGTCTAAGTTAAGGTAAATACAGGCATGTTTTTGTACCATAAGAACTAATCTTTTCAAGGATGCAGTTACTGAACCACGTCTGCATGTCATGTTTTAACTTCAGTTTCTTTATTTTTTGCCTACTGAAGAGGACATTAAAAAGGCACAGAAACATGTCATGCTTAAATAATGTTTGCCTCTTAAATAGGTGGGTATTCCAGCACCTTAAAAGAATAGATTTTGGAGTTATGCCCTTTCTCTATCATTTTCATAGTGAGACAACATGATCGATATCTTTTTTGGGTCTGTACGTCCAGTGGCTGGGTCTCAGCAGTTAGCATTGCGGCTTAGCTTAGCGAATACATTTGAAGTGTATAGGGGGTCAGTAGCCTGCTCGGTAAATGTTAGCAAATAAACGTTACAGAAACCCTGAAGCTGATATTTCTGCACGTGCATTTAAAATAAACATGTTTAAACATTAATTCGAAAAATGAGAGTCCTTTTTAGTCGTTTTAGAAGAAGTTTGATACACGGAACTATAGTGTGTCTACACCCTGTGCGGAGGGATACACCGGTGAGCAACAGCTGCAGCTGGCTCTGGGACAGGTACGCTAGGTCACTCGGTAAAAGCAAACAAAGAGACAACACGGACGATATTACTCACTCGACTGAAAGCTGTCCATCAGCGCCTGCAGACCTGGGGCGTTTTTTCCAGTTCATCTTAGGAACATGAAAAAAAGTTTCAATCACGCCAGGATTAGTGATTGCTGCAAAGTTTTCACTCCTTGTGATGCACTCTCTGCGGCAGTTTTCCTCCTGATGATATATCTCCCCAACGATGGTAGCACCAAATCCCATTCTGTGCAGCAAAATGATTCCACCTCCGTAGGCAGAGGTTGGCAAGCCCCACAGCTACACCACCAATCCTCCCCTGACCTCCGTCTCCCCTTGGTCCCTTGCTGTTCCGCTGCCTCGGAGGATTCAGCCTCTCTTCTTGCCCACTCAGCATCCAACACCTGGAGTTCCTCATCTGTATGCTCCGGCTCAAACAGGTAGGGCTCTGGATCTGTGTCCGCTACAAGGAACTCTTCAAAATCGCGTTCAAAGTCGTCCATTGCAGCTACTATAGTCTGGAGATATTGTTAGGCTAAATAAACAACTGAGTTTTTTTTACAGGCTACGTCTGTGCCTGTGCCTGCTCCCCGGTGTATCCCTCCATGCATCACAGCGCAGGGCATAAACACACTATAGTTCCGTGTATCAAAATTCTTCTAAAACGACTAAAAAGGACTCTCATTTTTCAAATTAATGTTTAAACATGTTTATTTTGAATGCACATGTAGAAATACCAGCTTCAGGGTTTCTGTAACATTTATTTGTTGACTTTTACCGAGCAGGCTACTGACTCCCTATAGACTTCAATTGTATTCGCTAAGCTAAGCCACAATGCTAACAGCTGAGACCCAGCCACTGGACGTACAGACCCAAAAAAGATATCGATCATGTTGTCTCAATATGAAAATGATAGAGAAAGGGCATAACTCCCAAATCGTCAGAGTATTCTTTTAAGGTGATTTATTCCCCCCCCCCCAAAAAAAAAGACTGACAAATTAAGATGGTGGTCTAGATATGGTTGATAGGGCGATTTTGCAGCCTAGCTCCTCTTTTATTTCATGGCATGTACCATTATAATCAATAACTTGGTGCAGAGAAAATATGAATTTTTGCATTCTTACTAGTTGCACTTTGAATGTAATATAATAACGTATGAATATAAAGTGTGAACAAAGTAGCTGTGACTGACAGACCACCTTTTGTTCAAGAAATGATTCATAAACCTTGTACAAAAAACTTCCAAGTAACAACAAAAATGGTCCATGAAATGTAGAAACTCCCACACACCTGTAAATCACACCAAAGAGTGCAACATGCAGTCCAGTCACAGTCACACGTCCTCATTTGCCCTTATCAGCCCTGTAGTATATTTACCAGCCCATTTCCACCATTCTCTGCCAGGTTGTTCACTTTGCTTACACCTTAACTTTCCAGCCTTTAGTTCCACCCACCTGGCCTAAACTGCATGACTTCCTGCCTGACTCTTAGACTCCTCCCTCTGTGCATAAATTCTTTTTGGATAAGTTTAACAGTTTCTGTTTGTCTGCCTGGTTTTACTTTTGTAGGCTTTTGACGACAAATGAATGTGAAGCCAACCTGCTCGTGTCATCTGGGTTCAAACCTGGTTATCTACTGAGCCTTTACACAAATAACACTCTCTCACGGTAGCTGGCAGTTATCAGACAGTGTGTGTGTGTGTGTGTGTTTTCAAGTCTCAAGTATTAAGCACATGTTAGATTTCCAATGAAGAAGAGCAATCGTGTTTGCATGTCAGTTAACCTTGAGCCCCAACTTTTGCAAGTGTAACCATATGCTGTTTATATCTGAAAGTTAAATATATCTCTTTACATGTATATATTTATATATATATATATATATATATATATGTAAACACAGCATTTTAACACTTTGACCTCTGCAATGGAAATGGTCCAGCAGTGCTAACAGTTGTATTTGTTGCTCATTGTGATGTCAATTCTTGGAGTGTTTTCAGATTCTTCATATTCCTAACACACTAAAGTAAAAACACCAAACACAATGATCCAAAATGTTTTTAAATGTACAAACAGAAACTAAATATTTCTTCACACTTCCTAAGTTATTTGATCCATGTACAGTATGTAGCATTCATTCATTCCTCTGGCACCATGTGTGTGTGGTGCAGTGTTGTTATTATGAACATATGTACTGAAGACACACAAGACAGAAGCCTGAGTTTTCTACTGCAGAAAAAAGAAAGTCGTAGCTATTATGATTATTATTTTAGATTGATTTAAACGGTATCATTCAAACAACAAGCCCTGTGGCCCTCTGCAGGAAGTCAGTGTTTAAAGGGTTAATGCTCATGTTGTGAGTCACTTTGGATAAAAGCATCAGCTAAGTAAACGTAATCTTATCAGTAACAAAGTCTTTTGCTTTGATGCTTTAACCCACCATGTGATGCTATAACTTCCCTCTAAACCCACTTTGTTATCAGCTGAATCATTTCCACAACTTTGGAATAAGTTTTAAGTAAAGTGTTATTTCCACTCTGAATAAAGGAAGAACTCCAAAGTGAAAGAATTTCAAGTTTATTCTGTTTCTGGACATCCAGCATGAAAAACTGTTCATTTTAACCTTTATGGTACATCACACGTAAAATAAAGAGCTGAACATTTCTGTATCGTCTCAACCAAAACAGGAAAAGAAATATTAAAATAGACCTAAAGCAGGCAACTGTTATACAAGTGTATAAACAAGCACACACACACACACACACACACACACATACACACAATCTCATAAATCTGTATACAGCAAATATCTACAGTCACCCAGTGATCCAGGCAGGCCCGGCGCCACGAGGGGGCGAGGGGGGGCACTGCCCCCTCAGTTTGATTTTTTGCCCCTTCAGTTTAAGTTTTGTGTGCCATAGTAAATCTGCAAAAACAACAAAAATACTGGTCCAACCGACCAGTATTTTTGTTGTTGTTTTTTAACATAGGGTTATGGTGTTTGAGAGGAGAGTGAAACACCATAACCCCCTGTTATTTGCAGTAATTTCAGAACCATGGACAGCACGTTTGTTGTGTGTTGTATTAGGTTTGGCCTCACGGCGCACCGTACTATATGATTTAAGCTAGCTTGTTTGCGAAATAGTTTGGTCAACTTACTTTGCCATCACGTTAGTTTGTTCTTTGCCCAAAAAGCAGTTCAAGCCAAAGATGGATATAGGAACATGGTTTTGTAAAAAAAAAAACAAAAAAAAAAAAAAACACTACAGCAGAGACTGCAGCTGAGGCCAGTGGCTCCTCGCTTACTCAGAGAGTTTAACAAACAAACAAGAAGGCTGCGACTCTACTGAGGAAAAGTAAGACAGAATCTAGCTGGTTTATTTTTCTATGTTCTATGTGACACACGTTTTTTTCTGCTGGATATGTCAGACATGCATCCAGACAGCAGGATGACTGATGATGAATGAGTTTTGAAATCGGGGGCATCCATCTTTGGATGACAGATTAGGCTAGTGGAAAAACTGAAACCTGAACCAGCTTTCATACCAATTTGCCGCTTGCTCCACCTGTCTGTCTGTCTGTCTGTCTGTCTGTCTGTCTGTCAGCTCCATCTGTCAGGAGACAAACTTGAAAGACGGCGACGAGCTGTCATTACGTGCGACAATTACGCACGGCTGCGCGCTCTTTATAACTCACTGTGAACCTATGTTGCATAATAAATATTTCCCCCTTTGTAATTTTTAACCGCCCCCTCAGTAACTTCATGGCGCCGGGCCTGGATCCAGGCAAAAGTCATGTAAAAGTTGTTCTGCATCATTAATGAGAGCTCTCAGATGATGATTCATAAATGAAGATGGGTTTTTAGTGCATTCGTATTACTGCTATAAACAAATCTGTATCAACACCAGAATAAGACTTTGATTAGCTGTTGTCTTTTAATAATCTAAAGTCTGCTCTGACTGAAGTTTCCTTTGAATCTCTTTTTTTTGTTTCTCTATCTCCTCCAGCTGCTCACTGAGTGTCTCCTTGTAGTTTTCTGCTGCCTTCTTCCTGTCTGTCATTCTATTTATCACACTTTGTGTTTTAGTCAGTAGTCTCTGTGTTTCCACGTGAAGTTTATCATCTTCTTGTTTCCTACCCTTCAACTGATTTTTGGCCGTTAACACAATGCTCTTCATCTCATGGTATCGGTCACTCTCTGCCATCTTCTCCACTGACTGAAGCTTGTTCTCAATATCTGTAATGTTTCTCTCCATGTGGTTCTTTTGATGCTCTGTTTGATCTCTCTGTTCTTTCAGTTGCTTCTCCTGTTCCATCAGTGTTTTAACCACCTGCTCCAAGTCTTTCTCTTCTTCTTCATTCTTCTGTAACTTTTCTGCAAGTTTTGCCTTTTTCTCCTCCAAATCCTCCATTTTCTTGCGTTCTGCCATGAGCTGCTCTGTCTCTGTCTTTGCTCTCTCAGCATCACGGTTCATCTTTGTCAGAATTCTTTTTAAATTTCTTTGCAAATATTTAACTTTAATTTCATTAGCTTAGCTGCACTATCTTCAAAAACACTATTTGACCTTTACTAGATTTTGTATTTTGTGTGATATTAAATCTGGTCAGTGAGTCCTCTGAAACTTTAACATGTCAAATTAAATTACCTTAAAAAAATCCCAGAGCCATCATGTCTGGAGTGACTTCTTTTGTTACTAACTTCCTGAAGGAGGTAAACTGAAAATGCAAACAATTAAAAGACACATCAACATCTAGTGTTTTTTTATTTGTTTTTTTTGTTTGTTTTTAGTGTAACATTCCTAAACCAAGTTCAGCATATTTTTCATTAAAATAGTAACTAAAACTGTGCCCTAATGGTTGAACAGGATATTTAAAGGTTAAAAAAAAGCATATGCAGTAATTCATTATAAAATTTTACCTAAGATATTTATAACAGCAATTAATTTCTCAGAAATTGACTAAAATTCAGATGAATTTTGTCTTCACTTTAAACTTCCATTCATCCCTCCAGAGACTGGAACCAATCACAGCACAGGTCACCAGTGTTTACTTATATTTCAGTTCTAATATTTTAACCTCTATGTTGACATTTTTAAGCATGAAATATAACCTTTACTTACATTATTTGTTGAAACAAATAAGATGTAGCAAGTCGTCACATATTGCCACTTTGTCAGTGACCTTTCATGACTACATGTTAGGTATCCTGCATCTGCTGTTGATGTTCCAGGATACACTACCAATGCCAGGAAGTCAACAAAAGCACATTATTTGTGTTTAGGCAAGAAAAACACTCGCTAAAAAACATCTTGGTTTCACATTTGGGACACAAACACTGGGCTCCCAGGTGAAAGTTCAGGGTTTGTTGGATGCATCCAGTACCCCTCCTGCTAGCCCTATAGGGCTTTTCCAGCTCCTTACATCACGTCAGTACTGGAAGCGTTTCAACCTGACACTGTCCAGCAGCGTATCATCCCACTATACCAACAGGTGCTATCCCAGCCAACCAGCAGCATTACTGACACTGCCTGGCTGCCAATCACTCTGCAAAAGGTGACTTTTGGTGTCAGGCATCTGACAACAAAATCACTGACAAAGCGGCAGTGTTTTACGACTTCAGAATGAGTATGATCACAGAGCTGTACTATTTTACCTTTGGTTTTGTGCTGTCTCCATTTCCACACAACATAGGCTGCTGCAAAAACAAAAATGAGGAAAATAAACACTAAAATGCCGACACGAGCAGCAGAACAAGATGGAGCCTCGAAGCAATCAGCTGAAATGATAAAACACACAACAGAATATGAGTTACATAAAACTGTCCATCAGCTGTTAGAAGAAACAAAAGTGATGTTAGAGGGGATAAAAATTACCTGAAAATTGAATCTCTGTCTCTTTGGTCTGGTTGATGTTCCTCTGTTGGACTCTACAGGTGAAGCTGTTGCTGTGTCTCTTCTCCACAGTCACTCTGCTGCTGACAGTATAGAGGTCATCAGGACCTCTGACTGTCTCTGTAGGTCCAGCAGAGAGGAGCTTTCCCTCACCGTCCAGCCACAACACCTCAGGCTCTGGATACCAGCCTGCAGACTCACACTGTAACACCACTGCGCTGCTGTTTAAGTAAATTCCAGCTATGACCGCTGAGGAGACAGAACCTGATGATGAGAGAGAGGAGAAATGTGCGTGACATCATACTAAAGGTCTTCACAGAATAAAACCTAATTTACATAAATCTGATGTGAATACATTTGTTTGGGGGAAAAAAAGTGACCCACAGTGTTGAAGACATGAACAGGCCGAACAGAGAGAAGGCAGCGTGATGAGCTGCTTCCAAACTAGTTTTTAAACTTAAATTATTGATATTACATGAGTGACAGTTTAACTGGAAGAACACAACTCCTGAGACTGATGTGACTTGATCAGGAGACAAGCTGAAGAACAGTATCTTCTAAAGTGAGAAACACTGAAATCACAAGACAGCTTTCTTGCTTCACTGAACTTAACCACTAAATTCTTGGCTACACCTGCAAAGACATAATTACAACTCATCTGCCACCAGTATACAGGCACATGTTCTCATTCCAAGTCGTCACATATTGCTGCTTAGTCAGTGGCCTTTCACGTCTACGTACTGAGTGCTAGGTTTGCTCCTGCATCTGCTGTTGATGTTTCTGGATGCCACCACCAACACCCAGATGTCAACAAAAGCTCACTTGTCACATATCATTTTTGGTCATGGACTTTCCCCGTTTAGATTTGGTTGTTGACGCTCTGGGATGTTGTGTTAACTTCAGCCTGTTACATGCATTATCTGTTTATAAAATACACTGCTGTTTTTACAGGACATTTGCAGTTTGCATACAGTCTCTTTCAAAATAAGAGCACTATGTGCATGTACTGTATTGTGTTTGTGTCATGTACTATGCCAACACTAATGGACGGCTTTTTTCATCTGTGTCTGGCGCCACAAGTCACTGCACAAGTGCTGGATTTTGGTGACTTTAGAGCGAGACCAGGTTGCATGGATAGGTTTAGAGAAAAACATCATGGTTTGGCTCTACATTCATACGGGAAGGGAACACCGACCTCCTGGGTCAAAGTCCAGGGTTTGTTGAAACCACCCCTCCCTCCCACCCACCCTATAGGGACTTTCCTATTCTTACACTGTAGTATGTCAGTTACTGATGACAATTCAACCCGACACCATCTAGCTGTCTATCACAACAGGTGCCATCTGGCCGACAAGCGGTATATCAAATAATGCGAAAGGTGGCTTTTGGCATCAGGTGTTTGACACTGAAATCACAAAACAAAAACAACATATTTGATGACTTCGGAATGAGAACAGCTGGTAGCACAGTTTCAAAATCATTTCAAAAAGATGGGTGGATACAGCTAGCAGCCATTTATGACTGCAGAGATTGATGGTAATCTTAACAATGACACAGCAGCATACAGTGTAAAAAAAAGACAGAAATCTACACATGTAAAGCTTCAAACAAGACATCAAGCCGCTAAAAATCTGAAGATATCTAGGAGTATTATGGAAAATGTGCATAAAATCTTATGCCTACTCACCAACAATAAGCTCAACAGTAGATTCTTTACTCTGTGAGGGAAAGTAGCATCTATAGATTCCATTATCGGAGAGTTTGGCTGCAGACAGTGTCAGTGAAAGGTCTCCATGCTTCAGTTTCTCAATGGACACTGATGTTCTTCCTTTGTAAGACGGGTTTTGGTTCCTGAGAATGTTTTGACCTTCATGCCACACATGGACAAATCTTGGTTCCAGGTCAAGTCTCCCCCACTCCGCAGGATAACGTCTTCACCAACTAATGTCACTATTGTTCGAGAAGGTCTAGCCCCCTGAGACTGGCCTGCAGAGACACATGGAACATTTTAAAGGGACCGTTCTCCCCAAAATCAGATTTACACATTTTTCCTTTTACCTGTAGCGTTATGTATCAGTCTAGATTGTTTTGGTGTGAGCTGCCGAGTGTTAGAGATATCAGCTGTAAAGATGTGTGCCTTCTCTCTAATATAATGGATCTTGGGGCAGCTGTTGCTTAGAGGTAGAGCAGGTCATCCACTAATCCGATGATCACAAGTTCAGTCCCCGGCTCCTCCAGCCTGCAGGTCAAAGCGTCCAAATTGCTCCCTATAGCTGTTCAATCGGTGTGTGAATGCCACTAAATGGTTACTGAGTAGGAGGTAGCACCTTGTATGGTCGAATGGGTGAATGTAGTGTAAAAAGCACTTTGAATGGTCGGAAGGCCAGAGAAGCGCTATATAATTCTGTTTAACTAGATGGCACTTGGCTTGTTGTGTTAAAAGTGCCAAAAAACAAACAAACAAACAAAAATACCCTCAACAGCAATGTCTCATCATGACACGGTTACTCAATAAAAACAAATGCAGATTACCTATATTTCATTGTCCATCCTCCCAATAAATTGGTACTGCTAGCTCATCTTACCTAGCAATCATTACAGGTTAGATATACACTTCCTTCTGCACAGTGATTCAGTTGGTAGGTGTTGTTCAGTAGAAAGAAAACAAGGTCTGCAGATTATCTTGTGTAACCAGCTCATGATTTCTGCTGTTGAGATATTCTTTTTTATGTTATTTTTTTACTTTTAACTTTATATATCTTACTATATGATGCCGAAAACTCTGTGTGTGTGTGTGTGTGTGTGTGTGTTCCACGTTTTTCTCCTCACTGACTTGGTCAATCCATGTGAAATTTGGCACAGTGGTAGAGGGTCATGGGAGGATGCCAATGAAGCAATATTACATCAATTGGCCAAAGGGGGGCGCTATAGCAACCCATTGAAATGTCAAACTTTGAATGGGCATATCTCATGCCCCGTATGTCGTAGAGACATGAAACTTTGCACAGA